CAGTTTAACTCGAAGTTGTCTTAACCTCAGTGCTTTAGTAAAATGAGAAATGTCGCTGGTCTATTGAAACTGATCGTTTGTACAATAAAGCAAGTAGGACGCCAAGTGTTATTTTTGTTGAATAACGAAAGACTAATAAAAGAATAAATATCAAACCAGAAATTGCTCTCTTCAAACTGTAAATTATAATGATCCTGAGAGAATATACAGTGTGTTAAGGATTTCCCTACTGTATTGTTAGCTCTATACAAGAGAGGACGGGCGATTCTTTTTTAATTTCCGTTTCGCTGACACAGCTTTAGCAGAAATCTCTTTGTTTTCGTTTTCGTCAACAAAACGAATAGCCATATCGGTCTCCGCGTCTTCCGCCATTTTGTCCTGCGTCAATTCGTAAAGGACGCGTGGCTCTGAGCGTGGGTCATCCACGCGGAATAAATACGCGCTATGTGAGTGGCTGTTGCCTAATCCCCCTTGGGATCTGTGGTCTTAAAAATAACTCGAGACGAATTACCTATGGAATAGGGTGTGTATGGGGGATGCCTTTTCTGTCTCCTTTATCCTCTCTTGACTAAACAGATTCTTATTTGCTCTTTCCCTTTCAGCCTATTTATATCTCAGTCTCTTGTGGTCACAGAAAGTTAATGTTTAATGGAAGAAGATCCAAATCCCTTCAAGAAATACTAATGGACAGAAATTCTGACAGAAGATGAATTTCATCAATTAAAAGAAAGAGTTCAATCTCTTCTGAACGAGATCAACTTTGAGCTATATATTGTAGGCTTTAATAAACTGTGCTCTCAAAAGTAGCATAATATGCCCCTAGAAGTGCTCGTGTATGCTAATAATTATACTAGAATATTATAAGAGAATTTCTGGGAATAAACAAAATACGTACTAAAAATATTCGAAATAAAAATGACTAAACCTCGTGTTCGTGTTCGTGTTGTGTCCTTTCTGTCTGCTTCTAGAGCTATTTCGAGGCCGTTTTGGCGAGTTTTAAAGATTTTGAGTTGTACATACCATATCAGACATACACGTGTAAAGGAAGTCGGGAGCCCTATTTCTCATTATTCTACATTGTAGTCATTATCAGTCTTCTCATTGGCTAAGAGCCTATAGTTAATTTTGGAAATCAGCGCAACTTACAAACAACAACAACAACATAAGCTTTATTTGCATGACTATAATTATGTAGTTACAGTATTGCAAAAGCTTTAATATAAAAAAACAAAAAACAAAAAAAAAAACAAAAAAAAACAAACAAACAAACAAACAAACAAATCATAACAATGATAATGCAATGATGACTGTAGTCAATCAAGTGTCATCAGCATGACTTGATAACAAATTATTACGTAAATCATTACATAATGAGACAAATTTCAACAAATGTGAATTTACGGAAAAATTCTGGGAATTCATCAATTTAATTATTAATTCTGTGTAAGATTGCTGATCAAAATCGACAAAATTTTGTTGGATTTGATCGTAGAATTTCTCCCTTGGGATTGAGTATTTTGGACAACGGAAGAGAAAATGAAATTCGTCTTCAATTATACCAGAGTTACAAATAGGACAGAGTCTATCGTTGCGGGAAGTTTGATTATATCTTCCAGTTTCAATCATGAGTTTGTGGTTACTTATACGAATTTTCACTAAATCTTTCCTATTCGCAGAATTTCTAATTAGGTCTAGATAACTTGAAATTTTATAATCATGTTTAAATAAGCTGTAAAATTGTAGTTTCTTAGAATGATGGATTGTATGTTGCCAATATGCAATATATTTTTGTTTTATTATATCTATACGGCGTTTGATCTTAGCTTCACTTAAATTATTAGGATCAAAATCAGGGAGGTCATAATATTCAGATATTTTCATAAGATTATTGTAAAAGCTATTTTTACCATTACAGTGAAGTTCTAGCGAAGTACGAAAGGCTCGTTTAACAATAGTATCCTCGTTTTTACGCAGAAGATACAATATGTAATAAAGGATGTTTTTATAAATATTAATAATTAATGGGAACCGTCCCAATTCACTTCTACTTGCAACATTTGAAGCTTTATTGCTTATTTCTAGGTAACGCTTGCAGATTAGTTAGTTGTCTGTAGGTTGCGCAGGCCGCAATGCATGATTACCAACAACAATTATATCAATTCAGTTTCCTTACGACGGTGTGTTTGTCGTTGTTTTCTTCAAAACAATGTATAATAAAACGGTTACTGTATTAGATTCGGTTTTTGTGATATCCTAAATAATTAAGGTCTCAGTAACAGTTATTAGCCTCGACCTTGGGCTGGGCTGATAACACTTATCTTGACCTTGTTTAGTTCGGATATCACAATTATTACAATTATTGTAAGAAGAGTAGCTCATGCCTCTCTTAAATTCATTATCATCCTAGATAAAAAACTGAATGGACTTGCCCTTTCAAGAAGATTTGTAGAACAGAAATTTCAAGAAACAAAGAAATGTTTAAGTGAGAGGGAACAGTCAGTTTGCTCAACCTAGTCATTGCTGAGTTTTTTTGCGTTGGAGCACCTGTCAAACTGCAAAATCTCCAAAGTATCCACATGGTTAATGTAGGATCAATTTAGGTTTGTGGGCAACTACCCACCTACCAAATGTTGGCTTAGGGGAGAGGTAAGCAGTTTCCCAGAGACCTAAACTGATCTATGTTGTTTTCATAAGACTTTCCCTTTTAAACATCGTGTTTCTTCCTTGCTCTTCCTTGCGAAAGAATGCGGCAAACATCGGGTGAGCATGAAGACATGCTATACGCGCTAAGTGAAAGGATTTTGACTGTTGGTTGATTCATCAGGTAAAGCCTTTAACTGCCCTAAGAGTGATCAGCATCAAATTTTTCCTATCAATGGCTTTCCTGAAACACATTCATCTCGTGAAATAAGAACGCAACCACACAAGATGAATTCAATCGCTGCCTGCTTTAACTATTTCTCCCCTGCACAATGTGTTCTCTCTCCCTTTCGTCCCGCGCTCAACGCACGTCTTTCGCGCTTCTCGCTAGACTGTGTCTTCTCCATTAACCAGACCGGCGACAGGATTTTCATGGGCGAAAGTTCACAAAGAAAAATTCTCGTCTTACCGGTTAGTCGCGGTGCTTATCGCAAATTAACGCTAAAGGAAAGCCTTAACCTCGTTCCCAGGGTTCTCTCCCTACGGAGTGACGTAGGGACGGGTAGGAGAAAACCCTGGCAATGAGATTGGGAAAGCCTTTCTCCCTTTTACTTATACTTCGCCTATCAGCTCCCGTCTTACGGCTAAAGTTAGTGAATGATTTGGACGAGATAAAAGGGTTAGGAGTTAAAACGAGCTAACGTTACCTCACGCTTCAAGAAGACCTCTTCCACTGTGGGTCATTGCTTGGAATTGGCGAATCCAGTTCAGATATTTTTTGACAGATGCGAAGATAAGAAACGGTTTTCCTCCAGTGTTGTTGTTTCATTCACTGTGGTCTTTCGCTATATCAAGGTAACAAGGGAAGCCGCAAAAATTTAGAACAATCAGTTACCTTCCAAGTTGGAACGGAATCAATATGAAATCCTTTCATTCAACTGATTTGTGCCTGGTTACAGAGTCCCAAGGCATTGACCACCCGCCATTTTCACACTAAAAATTGGTTGGTGCTCTAAACCTGAGCTTTTCAATCTCTTTATGGTGTACCTCACCTGATAAAACAGATTTTGTGCGCTTTACTCTGCGAATGACACAGCACTATATATATTTCGTAGGATTTTACAAAAAAAATATTGTACCCCTGTATCAGGGGTAAACGGGCTAAAGAGAGAAATGGGAGACTACTCTAAGGCAGACACCTGCTGGTACCAAAGGGCGGTCCTTCTTGAGAGATTTAACTGTTTCATCAACAAATTGCACGATCTTTTATCTCTTTCCTTTTTGTTTTGAAGAATTAAAGAGTGAATTAAGGAATTAAATAAGCAACTCTTTCATGTTCAGCTGCATTCCACGCACAAATCTCGAAATATGTTAGTTCTCATCTTATGCTGCGTTCCGAAGTATACTGTGAACCTTGATTTAAAACGTCTTTGCAATGCTGAAAGGAAGGAAGTGAATTAGACCCGATCAAATTAGATGTACCATTGCAAAGAATTTTAATGTTTATTTTTTGACTATTTGTCTTTTTGTACTGCTGCACGATAACAATCAGATACTGCTTAAAACTACAGCTGAAACTAGCATGCTGAGAAAACACCATATATCAGTCGCGACACAGCTCCTTTAACATTTAAGGCCTCGTTCCTTTCTATAGTAGCAAAACAACTCACAGATTTCAGCCTTGTAATTAGTTTTCTCTACAAATTTTAGGGAATAATTACCAATTCTGTGTTAGTATAGTGGGACATAGATATAATGAACCTCTATATAAGGAAGTCCTCGGAATAAGGAATGATTTTCTTTACCCAGTAATAGTTAGATATATGCATGGAAAGAACATCGATAAAACGAAACCGCGTGAAAGCGAACAAATTTTGCCAGTCCCTTGGCTCTTTGTTTTGTAGGTTCCACAGTACTTCATTTGTCCGAAAAATGAAACAGAACATGATACATGAGATTGACCTTGCTACAGTTTATTATTGAAATAAATTGTTCACTTGCTTAGACTGCTAGTCTCCACGCAGCCGTGATTGGTCTTTTCGCGGAAGAGAAGTGATACCGCTTCTTTTACTCAAACGGGCATTATTTGGGTTAACTTCTGGCAGGCGATATCTAAATCTTATTCGCGTTGCTCACAGTCAGATGACGTTCTGGGAAGATCGACAAGACTTTGTTTCATACCATCTCTCTGTCTTTTGGTGACATAGTTTCTTAATTTACTTATGAGACCCTGATTCTTCTTGTTTGTCGAGAGTGACGTCATCGCCTATAAGTGTAAAAGGCGCCCAGTATTTTAAATCGCCGAACTTCTCGGATTCTCTGAGACATTTCATTGCGCGGTTAAGGGACTCGCTCGCACTTCACCCTTTAACAAAGTTGTGGTAGAAGCTTTTCATGAACTCCAAGGTGGCCTCGTCATCGATGGCCCACAGGGACACCAGAACAGAACGAGCACCGGCACCAATAAAGGCGCGTGCAATGCCGACCACGCCTTCAGCTTTAATCTCTCCCCTGCCACTGTGACAGCAACTAAGTACAACTATCATGGCTCGCAGCTTCACACTCATCACATCTGCCATTGTCAACATGTAATCCTCTTCTGCAGGGGTCTGTGATTTCCTTTCAGGATTCGGGCTCAACGCTATCTCTCCGGTTTCCATGTGTCCATGTGCAGCAATGTGTACTACGGCAACCGAACTAATCTGTTTTAGCACTTCACATTTGGTGGCTAATTTTGCAATGAGAGGTGCCGTATTAAGAATCTGCCCGATCATCTGTGCTTCTTGTCTGGCAAAAGGAAGTTGCTCCAGGATCTGATCTCCTTGGCTGTTAGTAACTTCAACCATGTCTGGATCTCCTACAACTAGAGCTCCACTTCTGCTGTGGAATTTTGGACAATGAGAAATAATTTTCAAACTTGTCAGCGAAGGAATTAATCTGACTTTGAAGGATTCACACAAGTATTTGGAAAAAGGATTCAGCAATGCAGCAAAGGGAGCTAGCCATAATGGACCATCCGGGACAATTATTAGCTCATCACCCTCAATCAGATCTAACATTGGGGCAATCACATAGCTGTACAAGGCGGCTAGGGGAAGGTTATCCTCTTGGAGAATTTGCTGTGAGCACTTTTTGGATGACCGCTCCACAATATGGCGGTTTTCTCGTAACACATCTAAGGACCGATTCTCGCAGTTAAGATTTGCACGAACACCATTGTTTTTGTAGGCAAATTGGATGAGGGACTGTAATGCTTCAGCTGCTGCATTTTCTGAAAAGTGGCTGCAAAGTGTCTTCTGCCGGTGAATAACAGGTTTTTCTTTCAACAGTAACCAGATATTTATTTTATTTTCTGACAGAGCTAGAAAAATCGTGCTTGATGAAATATTGTTTAACATGCCGAATTCTTCTTCGTCTAGGCACTTTTCTTCGGTTTGTCTTTCTTGAAAACCATACTGAGATGTCATGAAATCAGCTAGTGACTGGGCCCGACCTTCTTCGGCAGCAACCAGAGCTTCACCAATCTTTCCTTGTTTTAAAAAAGCTCTACAAAGGCCTGTGTAAGCACAGTTACATTCGTTCCGAAATCCAATCTTCCATTTATCTTGAGACTGAAGAAGACTCCTCATTTGATTGAAAACTTTAACGCTTCTTTGGTAGTTGTCTAATGCTTTAGGCAAAACGTTCAGCATCTCAAAGCATTGTCCTAGATCATTGTATGCTTTACCTTCCATGTCTTTGTCACCAAGATGTTCAGCAATTCTGAGTCGTTTTTTGTTCCAATCAATGGCTATCGTGTAGTCGCCAAGAAGCAGGGAAATGGAACCTAAATAGCCACAGGCAGCCCCTTCGCCAGCCTTGTCTCCAAGTTCTTGGGCAATAGAGAGGCGCGAGCTGTAATAGTCCATGGCTTTCTTGTAGTCTCCAAGGTGTTGATAAGTGCTTCCGAGGTGTCCATATGCACGTCCTTCCCCTGCCTTATCTCCCAGATTTTTCGCAATACTAAGGCGGCGTTCAAAGTAGTAGAGGGCTTTCTCGAAATTAGCAAGACTAAGGTAAGCGTTGCCAAGATTGCCATATGCAATTGCCTCTCCCTCTCTATCTCTAATTGTTGTAGCAATATCAAGATGTAGATCGTGATAGTAAATTGCCTGATCGAAATCTCCAAGTCTGTCAAAAATACTGCCAAGACCACCATACGCACCACCTTCTGATTCCAAGTCTCCAACATCTTTGGCAATAGCAAGATGGCGTTTATAGTATTCTATGGACTTCTTGAAGTCTCCAAGACTGCTATAAATATGTCCAAGGGTGCAATACGCACCCTTTTCATCATTTTTGTTTCCTAGTTCTTTGGCACAGGAAAGATACAGATTACAATATTTTACTGCATTTTTTGTATCTCCAAGGTCGAGGGAAGCGTTTGCTAGACCTGAATATGCATGTGCTTCTGCATTTTTGTTTCGTACATCTTTGGAAATGCTAAGGGCTAAGCTATAAAACTCTTGGGCTTTCTTGAAATTTCCAAGTGACTGAAAAACGTTGCCAAGACCTGTGTACGCGTATCCCTCTCCTGACTTGTCTCTCCTTTCTTTGGCAATGCTAAGGTGACGCCTGTGGTAAATTTCAGCTTGTTTGTAGTCACCAAGGCAGTCAAAAGCATGTCCGAGATTGCTAAGGGCAACACCTTCTAATGACCTTCTGACTGCCTTGTCAGCCAGATCTTTGGCGACACTAAGACAACGGTTGTAGTAGCCTATTGCTTTTTCATAACTACACAAACCTCGAAAAGCATTTCCAAGACCGTAGGACGCCATACCTTCCATAGGCTTTTCTCCCAGCTCTATTGCAATACTAAGTGCCAGGTTTTGGTACTCAATGGCTTTCTTGAAATTGCCGACACTTTGAAAAACATCACCAAGACATTGACATGTATATCGTTCTTGTCTCTTGTTGCCCAATTCTTTAAAAATATCGAGAGCAAGGTCGTTATATTTTATGGCTTCCTTGTAATCACATTGACCCAGAAAATACATTCCAAGAGTTGCATACATCAGCCCTTCACTAGTTTTATCTCCCACATCCTTGGCAGTACTGAGATTTTGAAAGCAAAAGTTAACGATTTCGTTGAACTGATTCCCAGAAAGATTTGGCACATCATCAAAATTGCTCACAACGCCTTCAAATTCATCATCTGCTATTGCAGCAACGGGCTGGTTTTCTTTCGTTGATAGTTGATATGGAGTAAACGCCTGTAAAATTGAATTGCTTTTTGATCAGATATTAGTCAGACAAATTTGATTGTATTGGTGTACTGGTTTTTACGTACGTCTCTAAAATGTATGCCCAACCATGCAAACGTGGTAGATTTGAGGTAAGTCGGTCTCGTGTGAATGTCTCTATTATCTAAACCAGGTGTATATTTACTTCAACCTGAAACGTATTTATTTGCCATTAACGCATTTTCTTGTCTGAATAGTTAGCCACAAGCCCAAAATATTACGTACACCAACCACTAACCGTTTCCTTCATAGTGTTAGCTACTGACGTTGTAATATCTCTTTGGCATATCCTCCTTATTTTTAAGAGCTCCTTGATCCCATTGTCAATCTTAAGACTGTCAAGTTCGATTACCAGGTTTTAGAAAGTATCTAGTAAATGATATGGATAATAGTTCATTAACGGGGGGTAGTTCTGGCTGTTTTTTGTTTGTTTGCGGGAAGGAGCGTGGGGTGTGGTTGATTTTGGAACGAAAGGAATAAGGGTAGAAGATGATATGCACATAAACCAGTTAGTAATTAGTTTGTTCATGAGCAAAGGGGCACTAGTTGTGGTGGTTGTGACCTCCTAGATGAAAAAAAGAAAAAATGTTACATACGTTGACAGCAGATCCAAAAAAAAGGATACTGATAACGAAGATGAGATGACAAAGATGAAACCCACTGACCTCGACATTAACAAGGTTATGTTATTTTATTATCTTAGAAAGGATATCCCGTTTACTCGTAAGTTAGCGAACGAGTTATTTGTCTAGTGCATTACAAGTTAATAAATCTAACGCGGGTTGTACACACGCTCAAAGATCTCAAAAGAGAAAATAGAAGGTCTGTGTAAGGATACAGTAAGTCCCTTGTCACACCAGATGATGGCTTGTTCAATCCGCTTTAGCTTTAAACAGGCGTTCGCTCCTAGCAAAAAACGTCAACGCATTTGAAATCAATAAATGAAGGAAAAATTCACGTTTTCTACTGAGATTCATTTTTACCTCTGATAATCGCCTTGAGATAAGACGGCTGTAGTACTGTTGCGGCTTTTACGTCACTTAGACAATCATGGTAATTCCCTGAAAAAAGGTTTTATTATATTCCACATTAAAAAGAATAATCCTCAAGAAAATTAATAACCACTAATTAAAAACTTAACTGAGGGAGCAAGCGTCTACTTCATGTGTAAACCTTGCGTCCGCTCGAATATAATCCGAAACTACCACGCACTTTGTTCGATTTTAAGACAATTAAGTGACCCACGAAAGTAAGATTGAGTATTTTATAAATATTCCTCATGAGTGTAAACAAGTATAAATTAGCGAAACGGGAAAATAAGTGCATGAATTAATGGGCATATAAGACACATACAGTTTTAAAGTTCTCAAAATCCAGGTATTTATGAACACGGAAATAAAACCAAGCACCGTTGGCTGTTTTGTGAGAAGGTTAGGTTTCTCGACTGAACCCGCTTCCTTGGGGTAAAGCCGGCCATATACATAACACTTCACCCTGCAGATTGCATCCGTAAGACCAACCCTAAAGTCTGTTTACGTATAGGTGCCGGAATACAGAAAATTAAGCCAACGGATTGCTGAATACGGAATGAAATGCAATGTCGACAATGCGTGAAAGTCTAAACTGAATGTTACTTTACCTAAGTGATAGTGAGCTGATGCCCTGTTGTTGTATAATTTGGCATTCAGATCCCCATCCTTGCATTTTACTTCAATTCCTTTTGTGTACAAGTTAATAGCCTTGAGAAAATCACCTTTAAGAAATGCATCAATTCCGGCATTTTTGTGAGCTTCTGCTACTGCTGAAATAACAAACAAACTGAGTTTTGAGTTCTGCCAGTACCTGAATGAGTCAAAGCTAGAGAAGAAATTATAACATCTGATGCCTGACAAATTGTAGGTACACTTGATGTAAAGACCGTTGCCTTGGTTACAGGTACGCTTTGTGTTTGGAGTTTACTTACACGTACAATCAAGAGGTTTTTGGTTTGTTCGTGAATCGCCCTCCTCTTTTGCTGCTTTATCGCCTTCCTGTGATAAAATCTTTTCGCGTTCTATGACAGAACAAATCTTTATTTCCAACAGATCCTGGTTGTCCTTGTCAATCTTGCTAGAGTAAAGGTGTAGAAAATAATGCTCTTTCTTATCCTAGAACTTATGTAGTTGTTCGTAATAGTAGTAGTTATGACAGTAGCAAGAGCAGTAACAGCAATATTTTTGAATAGTTGACTCCCTTTCTGTACATATCATGCAATGGCTACTCTTTATGTGAACCGTTAAGACGCGTACTCCTAGGTCACTTATTTTAATCGACTTCATCGATTCAAACTGCTGATTTACTGAAAGGCAAAAAACGATTTGATAGTGACATATTAAAAGTAAAGAAAGTAATAGTTGTGCGATGGGGCTTTGTGCATTATTCTAAGAAAGGATACGGTTAGTCCTTTAGCACACCAGATGATGGCTTCCTCAAACTGCTTCACCTTGAAACAGCTGTTCGCTCCTAGTGAAAAAAAAAAGTCGACTCGTTTGAAATCATTGTTTTAGGAAAAATTCACGTTTTCTTCTGAGATTCATTTTTACCTCTGATAATCGCCTTGAGATAAGACGGCTGCAGTGCTGTTGCAGCTTTTACGTCATTCAGACAATCATGGTAATTCCCTGAAAAAAGATATCCATTTGATAATCATCCGTAAGAAGAATAATCAAAATAAAAAAATAGACCTTTTTACCGATACGGCGGCCAAATTGAATTAATCAGATTTAAGGGGCATTGTAGGATGCCCAGGAGGCATGAGCACGATCCGATACTCGCTCAGTATTTACGCACGCTTTTCGGGCCAATTTCTCTTTAAGTTTTCCTAGAAAAGGATTGTAATGGGAAAAAAAGATCGTTGTGCAGTGTTTGGATGTAATAATGTTCGCCTTTTCCCCGAGAAATATACAGTGAAGTTCTCTTTTTCCCGAAAAGCGCGTAAATACTGAGAGAGTGCCCCCATGGGCATCCCGTAATACTTCTTAAATCTAATAAATTCAATATGGCTGCCGTATCGGTAAAAAGGTCTATTGGCGCTTATTAAGAAGAACAAATTTACCCCGTGACACTTAGCTAAAAAGCAGCACGTACATTAAATATAAATTTGGTTTTCGGCCCGTCTTATAGAAATCGACACAACTGTTACATCGCCGTTTACGGTATTAGCTCATCAAACGGCCGAATCGAATTATTCGGTGCTTAATTTAGGTCGGCCTTTATTGAAACCTCTCACTTGCGAATTACTCAGTACTACGTAATCTTTCACCGTCTTCCTTTTTCTGTTCCAGAACAATAAAAAACAGTATTTTTAAAAGGCATAAGAATCCCCATTAGAACATCTTAAGCGCCACGCCACAATTTTCCTTGATTTTGCAGAGCTTGAACATTGGTTAAAAGACAGAGACAGCCAATAGTTTCCTTCGGTTGGCAAGCCTTGCTTTTAAAAGAAACAAGAACGCTCTTTCAGCGGCTTTCAGTCTCGCTTGCTTGGAGATTAGATCGAGAAATGAAGAGGCGATTAATTCTACACGAAACAGGATTTATTCGCTAAAGGTTTTTTACTTCCTACTTTATTGACGTAGAGTATTCTTCAGGATATTTAGTATTATAACATAGCGCGCGTGCTTGCCCTATATAAGTCCTATTGAGCCGCTATGAACAAAATCTTTATTTACGCACGCCCGTGCGTAAATAAGATTACGTGAGCATTTTTTTTATCTGGCTGCAAAGTACCCTGCTAGCAGAGTCGCTTCGATCTTTCCCGACTTTTCTAGGAAGATCGAAGGAGACTCTGTTCGCAGGGTATCGTCTTTTTAGCTGCAGAGCAGTTTTCCTTCTCTTTAAAACATGGAAGAAACCAGCGAAGAACTGCCCAATTTTTGTATCGGCATTGACCTTTTAGGTCCTGATCCAACAAGCAGCAAAAATAAAGCCGAATTAAAAAAAACTCGCAAGTTGCGCGTTTCGCAAATTTGTCGGAAGACCAGCTGCAGCAAATTTTGGCCGAAAGACATTCACTGAGAACAGAACAGACACCAACTGGTCAGCAACAACATTTAAGGGTAAGATTTCCGTTTTTATTGTTGTTTTTAAATTTGTTACGCACTTTTGTTATCTCCGGACAATCCGACTGAGGCAGGAAAATTTCTCTCGCAATAACAACACAAATTACACAAGAAGACATAAATTTATTACTCACAAAAACAACTGCTGCCAGGTCTTTTCAAGAAGCCGTAATGACCAGCCTAAAGAAGGATGACTATCGTCTTCGCTAAAAACATGTTTCCTGGATTTCGCCGAGCAAAACGTAAACATCTTTTCGGCAAATCCAAACCATACTCCACGACTTCTTACGGACATGTTAGTATTTTAACTTTAGGTGAACTTTAAGACTCTTTTACCTTTGTTTCTGCTTAGTTTCCATTGATCGTTAACGAATAAAGATCTAGCAAATTTTCTTTCTCAGTTTTACAGAAAGAACATTTTCATTCAAACTAGACGATTGTGGCGTGTAATCAGCCAGTAGAACCGTTTGTTTTTGTGTAGCGCGTTACGAGAATTTTGCAGTTAATAAAAAAGCAAGCATTTTTGTCAGCTATGTTATAAAAAAATGTGCTCATGCTTTTAGCTGAAGCTAGAGTTGCACTCGGCTATCGCCTCGTGCAACTCTTACGCATCTTTCGTGCTCTCCAAACTTCCCGCGTGCATCCATAACTCGATATACGCACGCTAAGCATGAACAAATTCTTAAATTGATTTAGTGCGCTTGTCTGCAGTCGCAGGCTCGATTGCAGAGAAATTACATAATTCAGTCCGGGATGGTTAACAAATTTGATACCTACCTTACGTCACAACATGACAAACAAATCAGGAATCGGCGATTTTCGTACCCTATTCATCGTTTTCGTTGTTTGTTCGTCATTGCTGGCCGTATGTACTGATAATTCCATTGGAAATTGCCCGCCATCTTGGGCACACGTGAAGAGCAACAAGCCATGATGGAAGTAAAATTTTGGGCCGGGAAGTTTCAGGGCGGTTGAATTCACGCGTTGGAATGAGGTATGTTTTTCAACTTTGTCTTCAAGTTTAGGTTAGTAAATGAGTTCTACCACAGACCAAAAAACTATAGAGCTGATCTTTAGTCTCTTTCCTTTCGATGCAATTGTTTATCCCAACCCAAACTACGGGAAAAAAGTGTATGGGGTGGTCTCGGTTTACGTTTTATTAAGTCGCTTACCGCCATTTTGTGTTTTCAACGTTGTTGTCAATGATTCTATTTATAATCCGAACATTGTTGTCGTATTCAGTCACGATATCTTGTCACTGTACTACATTTTCACAGTAAGGAAACCTTTTTCACACTGATAGTTCATTTCACCGCGGTAAATTGCCTGACGACATCCAAATAAGACCAAAAACCGAACTAGTTCTTTGTCAAACGAGAGTACGTTACAATCGACTGTCATTCTCCATTGTAGGTTTGACTAGCGCATACAGTAATTATACTCGAATCTGTTGTTCCTTGCATTGCATCGACCGTCTTCCAGGTAGGCCTACACGACTTTTTCCCCATGCCAAAATGCTGCTCGTTCCAATAAAGTTTGTTTTTTCTCTGCTAGGTAGATTATGCTGTGGAAGGTTGATCTACATTTTCACTGAGAAATGTGATTTTAGCCGTTTGTTTCACACTGAGAGGCACACATATTGATTAACTGTGGTTTTAAATTTGTTTCTGGTCGACAGGATTTGTCCTCTGATGCAAGAGCATTTTCTTGGACCTCAGTTTTATGAAGCGCAAAGCTTTTGTTACAGCTGAATAAGGGTTCTAATTTTCTCCAAAGTGCCTTCTGGATCTGAATAACTAAGAGATTTTCTTTACTCCGTAAATATAATGTTTTTGTGCAATGTTGCATCACGCTGGGCCCAGCTCGTGAGTTTTCTTTGCAGGATGTTAAATTATCACTGATAGTGATTTACAGATCTAAAATTGTGAGAATGAAGAGCAGCTGAAACTGAAGCTGCTTCAACTATGGAGAAATGCATTGTGGCTCAGTAGACTCCAGCTTAGTGTTTTTCTATAATGTGAGTCTTTTGACTGGAGAGCGCATTACAGAAACGCGCCCATTGATAAACGTCGATCGTGAAAATGCAAATGAGAGAAAAAGTTAACAGAGAGCATGCGTAACTTAATGGAGGACCGTCATTAAAACTGTCAATCATGAAATCTACCGTGCATGTTGCATTGTTCTTGCCAGACGATCGAGACGAGGTGGTAAAAAACGAAAACAATAGAAGGCTTATCTTAATTACTCTTTATTGTTACAAAGCCACTCGGTTGTAACATTCAATTTGCGCTCTTAATCCGCCGACTTTTTAAACTAAGTATAAGATTACAGGTTCCAGAGGTTTTTTTCTTATCTAATTCCTGAAAGTTCGCGACAAAGGGTCGAAAAAAACAAAAAAATAACCAGCAACGATCACTGTAGATTTCGCTTTCAACATTTTTGAACTCTTTGAATATGACTAAATGAAGTCTTCTAGAGTTCAGAATTAATATATCTCACTTTATTCTATGGATTTACAACAACTTACATAAAATTTGCAATCACTTGCGCTCGCAAAGCTTTCGGACTTGGCGACATTTCGTGGCAATACAGAACGTTGAATCAATATGCCGTAATATCGAGGTTTTTGAGGGATAAAACCGGCAAAATACTTTAATGCTGTAATTTCTGTGATGAGTATTTACGCTACTTTTCACTTTTGTATTTTAAAGAACGATACGCCAGCAAACAGTTCGTTGTTTTAACCTTTCTGCTCGATCAAGCGAGTGATTGGAAACAACCAATGAACAACCTTGTCCCCAAGTCCCATTGACTAAGTAACCATAGAGACAATAAACAAATATATAAAGCGTCGTTTGTTTGATATCTCACTCATAAATCGCTTCCCATACGACGAGTTACAATGTCTTTCGAAATCGGAAAGAAATGCGAAGGTCTTCATGAAGGCCGTTGGTATGTTTGTACCATTCTTGCATGTGAAAAAGACGGATATAGCGTTACGTTTGACGGATGGAGTCGAAAATTCGATACCGTTCTCGCTCCTGAATTTGTTCGCACGCGCTCTACGATTGACAGTCGGAAGAGGAAGCCTTGGACTCCGAGCATAAATTTCAACAAGCTCCTACCAGATGACGAGGTATCAATCGACGTCGAGGGTTCCAGAAAGCAAGCTTTGGTACAAGTAGTGGATACCTTCCGTGAGCAGCTGACTGTTGAATGTGAAAGCGTTCAACTGACTGTCGCTTTCCGTGATGTACTGCCATCGCCTGTATTTACACCCGTAGTCAAACGAAAAAGACCTGCTGCTCCACGCGTCGTCACACCATCCGAACCAGCGCCAACACCACCACAAGTGCCGACCCCTGTCAGTTATACAGCTCCGCAGTTCATGGCCATTGTGCGACCCGATGGTACCGAAATCGGCTGTGGAGATCTCGTGAACCTCTCACCAAATGCGGCAGATGTAGTTTTTCTTGTCCTGGAGGTTTATCAAGAACAGATGAGTGGTGACTTACTCATGAACGCTCAAAAGTGTCAGCTATCACATGGTGTCGCTGTTCGCAGTTCATCCAACTTCAGGCTGACCTGTCCAGTGTCCGAAGTGTACAAGCTTCAAAACCCTAAATTTTCGCCTCAGTTGAAAAAGGAAGTACTGGAAGTCCGTCAGAGGTCAATTTTGCGGTTTTCCCAGTCCCTGCAGCTTAACGCATCCAACCGCTCCTATCAGCTTCAAGCAAGACGAAATGACATCGCGGCCAAGCTTCGCCAAGAGATCCAGAAAGGAATGTCTTTAAAGGTTGCTCGCACTTTCACGATCAGACTGGGCCCAGCTGACCTTCGCCACGACCTTGAGCTCCTTGGGTTGGCCATTGAAAACAGCTTTAAGGTAGAAAAGCCCAAGAACCGTCTCGCCGATCTTGATCCCTTGCTTGGCAAAAACTGGGACATAAAGCTGAAACAAGACGACCGCTTTTTTTACATCACTTCCACCGAGATTGCCCTGGAGATGCCATCGCGAACTCTCCTCGTGAAGATCAAGTTCGCCGAGTCCACCTGCCCCTTCCGGCAAGACAGCTTCCCGTAGGGACGGGTAGGAGAAAACCCTGGCAATGAGATTGGGAAAGCCTTTCTCCCTTTTACTTATACTTCGCCTATCAGCTCCCGTCTTACGGCTAAAGTTAGTGAATTATTTGGACGAGATAAAAAGGTTAGGAGTTAAAACGAGCTAACGTTAGCTCACGCTTCAAGAAGACCTCTTCCACTGTGGGTCATTGCTTGGAATTGGCGAATCCAGTTCAGATATTTTTTGACATATGCGAAGATAAGAAACGGTTTTCCTCCAGGGTTGTTGTTTCATTCACTGTGGTCTTTCGCTATATCAAGGTAACAAGGGAAGCCGCAAAAATTTAGAACAAGCAGTTACCTTCCAAGTTGGAACGGAATCAATACGAAATCCTTTCATTCAACTGATTTGTGCCTGGTTTCAGAGTCCCAAGGCATTAACCACCCACCATTTTCACACTAAAAATTGGTTGGTACTCAAAACCTGAGCTTTTCAATCTCTTTATGGTAGTACCTCACCTGATAAAACAGATTTTGTGCGCTTTACTCTGCGAACGACACAGCACTATATATATTTCGTAGGATTTTACAAAAAAAATATTGTACCCCTGTATCAGGGGTAAGCGAGCTAAAGAGAGAAATGGGAGTCTACTCTAAGGCAGACACCTGCTGGTACCAAAGGGCGGTCGTTCTTGAGAGATTTGACTGTTTCATCAACAAATTGCACGATCTTTTATCTCTTTCCTTTTTGTTTTGAAGACTTAAAGAGTGAATTAAGGAATTAAATAAGCAACTCTTTCATGTTCAGCTGCATTCCACGCACAAATCTCGAAATATGTTAGTTCTCATCTTATGCTGCATTGCGAAGTATACTATGGACCTTAATTTAAAACGTCTTTGCAATGCTGAAAGGAAGGAAGTGAATTAGACCCAAACAAATTAGATGTACCATTGCAAAGAATTTTAATGTTTATTTTTTGACTATTTGTCTTTTTGTATTGCTGCACGATAACAATCAGATACTGCTTAAAACTACAGCTGAAACTAGCGTGCTGAGAAAACACCATATATCAGTCGCGACACTGCTCCTTTAACATTTAAGGCCTCGTTCCTTTCTATAGTAGCAAAACAACTCAGAGATTTCAGCCTTGTAATTAGTTTTCTCTACAAATTTTAGGGAACAATTACCAATTCTGTGTTAGTATAGTGGGACATAGATATAATCATAAGGAAGTCCTCGGCATAAGGAATGATTTTCTTTACCCAGTAATAGTTAGATATATGCATGGAAAGAACATCGATAAAACGAAACCGCGTGAAAGCGAACAAATTTTGCCAGTCCCTTGGCTCTTTGTTTTGTAGGTTCCACAGTACTTCATTTGTCCGAAAAATGAAACAGAACATGATACATGAGATTGACCTTGCTACAGTTTATTATTGAAATAAATTGTTCACTTGCTTAGACTGCTAGTCTCCACGCAGCCGTGATTGGTTTTTTCGCGGAAGAGAAGTGATACCGCTTCTTTTACTCAAACGGGCATTATTTGGGTTAACTTCTGGCAGGCGATATCTAATTCTTATTCGCGTTGCTACAGTCAGATGACGTTGCGGGAAGATCGACAAGACTTTGTTTCATACCATCTCTCTGTCTTTTGGGGACATAGTTTCTTAATTTATTTATGAGACCCTGATTCTTCTTGTTTGTCGAGAGTGACGTCATCGCCTATAAGTGTAAAAGGCGCCCAGTATTTTAAATCGCCGAACTTCTCGGATTCTCTGAGACATTTCATTGCGCGGTTAAGGGACTCGCTCGCACTTCGCCCTTTAACAAAGTTGTGGTAGAAGCTTTTCATGAACTCCAAGGTGGCCTCGTCATCGATGGCCCACAGGGACACCAGAACAGAACGAGCACCGGCACCAATAAAGGCGCGTGCAATGCCGACCACGCCTTCAGCTTTAATCTCTCCCCTGCCACTGTGACAGCAACTAAGTACAACTAGCATGGCTCGCAGCTTCACACTCATCACATCTGCCATTGTCAACATGTAATCCTCTTCTGCAGGGGTCTGTGATTTCCTTTCAGGACTCGGGCTCAACGCTATCTCTCCGGTTTCCATGTGTCCATGTGCAGCAATGTGTACTACGGCAACCGAACTAATCTGTTTTAGCACTTCACATTTGGTGGCTAATTTTCCAGTGAGAGGTGCCGTATTAAGAATCTGCCCGATCATCTGTGCTTCTTGTCTGGCAAAAGGAAGCTGCTCCAGGATCTGATCTCCTTGGCTGTTAGTAACTTCACTCATGTCTGGATCTCCTACAACTAGAGCTCCACTTCTGCTGTGGAATTTTGGACAATGAGAAATAATTTTCAAACTTGTCAGCGAAGGAATTAATCTGACTTTGAAGGATTCACACAAGTATTTGGAAAAAGGATTCAGCAATGCAGCAAAGGGAGCTAGCCATAATGGACCATCCGGGACAATTATTAGCTCATCACCCTCAATCAGATCTAACATCGGGGCAATCACATAGCTGTAGAAGGCGGCTAGGGGAAGGTTATCCTCTTGGAGAATTTGCTGTGAGCACTTTTTAGATGACCGCTCCACAATATGGCAGTTTTCTCGTAACACATCTAAGGACCGATTCTCGCAGTTAAGATTTGCACGAACACCATTGTTTTTGTAGGCAAATTGGATGAGGGACTGTAATGTTTCAGCTGCTGCATTTTCTGAAAAGTGGCTGCAAGGTGTGTTCTGCCGGTGAATAACAGGTTTTTCTTTCAACAGTAACCAGATATTTATTTTATTTTCTGACAGAGCTAGAAAAATCGTGCTTGATGAAATATTGTTTAACATGCCGAATTCTTCTTCGTCTAGGCACTTTTCTTCGGTTTGTCTTTCTTGAAAACCATACTGAGATGTCATGAAATCAGCTAGTGACTGGGCCCGACCTTCTTCGGCAGCAACCAGAGCTTCACCAATCTTTCCTTGTTTTAAAAAAGCTCTACAAAGGCCTGTGTAAGCACAGTTACATTCGTTCCGAAATCCAATCTTCCATTTATCTTGAGACTGAAGAAGACTCCTCATTTGATTGAAAAGTTTAACGCTTCTTTGGTAGTTGTCTAATGCTTTAGGCAAAACGTTCAGCATCTCAAAGCATTGTCCTAGATCACTGTATGCTTTACCTTCCATGTCTTTGTCACCAAGATGTTCAGCAATTCTGAGTCGTTTTTTGTTCCAATCAATGGCTATCGTGTAGTCGCCAAGAAGCAGGGAAATGGAACCTAAATAGCCACAGGCAGCCCCTTCGCCAGCCTTGTCTCCAAGTTCTTGGGCAATAGAGAGGCGCGAGCTGTAATAGTCCATGGCTTTCTTGTAGTCTCAAAGGTGTTGATAAGTGCTTCCGAGGTGTCCATATGCACGTCCTTCCCCTGCCTTATCTCCCAGATTTTTCGCAATACTAAGGCGGCGTTCAAAGTAGTAGAGGGCTTTCTCGAAATTAGCAAGACTAAGGCAAGCGTTGCCAAGATTGCCATATGCAATTGCCTCTCCCTCTCTATCTCTAATTGTTTTAGCAATATCAAGATGTAGATCGTGATAATAAATTGCCTGATCGAAATCTCCAAGTCTGTCTAAAATACTGCCAAGACCACCATACGCACCACCTTCTGATTCCAAGTCTCCAACATCTTTGGCAATAGCAAGATGGCGTTTATAGTATTCTATGGACTTCTTGAAGTCTCCAAGACTGCTATAAATATGTCCAAGGGTGCAATACGCCCCCTGTTCTTCATTTTTGTTTCCTTGTTCTTTGGCACAGGAAAGATACAGATTAGAATATTTTACTGCATTTTTTGTATCTCCAAGGTCGAGGGAAGCGCTTGCTAGACCTGAATATGCATGTGCTTCTACATTTTTGTTTCGTACATCTTTGGAAATGCTAAGGGCTAAGCTGTAAAACTCTTGGGCTTTCTTGAAATTTCCAAGTGACTGAAAAACGTTGCCAAGACCTGTGTACGCGTATCCCTCTCCTGACTTGTCTCTCCTTTCTTTGGCAATGCTAAGGTGACGCCTGTGGTAGATTTCAGCTTGTTTGTAGTCACCAAGGCAGTCAAAAGCATGTCCGAGATTGCTAAGGGCAACACCTTCTAATGACCTTCTGACTGCCTTGTAAGCCAGATCTTTGGCGACACTAAGACAACGGTTGTAGTAGCCTATTGCTTTTTCATAACTACACAAACCTCGAAAAGCATTTCCAAGACCGTAGGACGCCATACCTTCCATAGGCTTTTCTCCCAGCTCTATTGCAATACTAAGTGCCAGGTTTTGGTACTCAATGGCTTTCTTGAAATTGCCGACACTTTGAAAAACATCACCAAGACATTGACATGTATATCGTTCTTGTCTCTTGTTGCCCAATTCTTTAAAAATATCGAGAGCAAGGTCGTTATATTTTATGGCTTCCTTGTAATCACATTGACCCAGAAAATACATTCCAAGAGTTGCATACATCAGCCCTTCACTAGTTTTATCTCCCACATGCTTGGCAGTACTGAGATTTTGAAAGCAAAAGTTAACGATGTCGTTGAAATGATTCCCAGAAAGATTTGGAACATCATCAAAATTGCTCACAACGCCTTCAAATTCATCATCTGCTACTGCAGCAACGGGCTGGTTTTCTTTCGTTGATGGTTGATATGGAGTAAACGCCTGTAAAATTGAATTGCTTTTTGATCAGATATTAGTCAGACAAATTTGATTGTATTGGTGTACTGGTTTTTACGTACGTCTCTAAAATGTATGCCCAACCATGCAAACGTGGTAGATTTGAGGTAAGTCGGTCTCGTGTGAATGTCTCTATTATCTAAACCAGGTGTATATTTACTTCAACTTGAAACGTATTTATTTGCCATTAACGCATTTTCTTGTCTGAATAGTTAGCCACAAGCCCAAAATATTATGTACACCAACCACTAACCGTTTCCTTCATAGTGTTAGCTACTGACGTTGTAATATCTCTTTGGCATATCCTCCTTATTTTTAAGAGCTCCTTGATCCCATTGTCAATCTTAAGACTGTCAAGTTCGATTACCAGGTTTTAGAAAGTATCTAGTAAATGATATGGATAATAGTTCATTAACGGGGGGTAGTTCTGGCTGTTTTTTGTTTGTTTGCGGGAAGGGGCGTGGGGTGTGGTTGATTTTAGAACGAAAGGAATAAGGTTAGACGATGATATGCACATAAACCAGTTAGTAATTAGTTTGTTCATGAGTAAAGGGGCGCCTAGTTGTGGTGGTTGTGACCTCATGTTATCCCAGAGGTCCACTAAGGGCCTTCTAGATGAAAAAAAGAAAAAATATTACAGACGTTGACAGCAGATCCAAAAAAAAGGATACTGATAACGAAGATGAGATGACAAAGATGAAACCCACTGACCTCGACATTAACAAGGTTATGTTATTTTATTATCTCAGAAAGGATATCCCGTTTACTCGTAAGTTAGCGAACGAGTTATTTGTCTAGTGCATTACAAGTTAATAAATCTAACGCGGGTTGTACACACGCTCAAAGATCTCAAAAGAGAAAATAGAAGGACTGTGAAAGGATACAGTAAGTCCCTTGTCACACCAGATGATGGCTTGTTCAATCTGCTTTAGCTTTAAACAGGCGTTCGCTCCTAGTAAAAAACGTCAACGCATTTGAAATCAATAAATGAAGGAAAAATTCACGTTTTCTACTGAGATTCATTTTTACCTCTGATAATCGCCTTGAGATAAGACGGCTGTAGTACTGTTGCGGCTTTTACGTCACTTAGACAATCATGGTAATTCCCTGAAAAAAGGTTTTATTATATCCCACATTAAAAAGAATAATCCTCAAGAAAATTAATAACCACTAATTAAAAACTTAACTGAGGGAGCAAGCGTCTACTTCATGTGTAAACCTTGCGTCCGCTCGAATATAATCCGAAACTACCGCGCACTTTGTTCGATTTTAAGACAATTAAGTGACCCACGAAAGTAAGATTGAGTATTTTATAAATATTCCTCATGAGTGTAAACAAGTATAAATTAGCGAAACGGGAAAATAAGTGCATGAATTAATGGGCATATAAGACACATACAGTTTTAAAGGTCTCAAAATCCAGGTATTTATGAACACGGAAATAAAACCAAGCACCGTTGGCTGTTTTGTGAGAAGGTTAGGTTTCTCGACTGAACCCGCTTCCTTAGGGTAAAGCCGGCCATATACATAACACTTCACCCTGCAGATTGCATCCGTAAGACCAACCCTAAAGTCTGTTTACGTATAGGTGCCGGAATACAGAAAAACCATCGGATTGCTGGATACGGAATGAAATGCAATGTTGACAATGCGTGAAAGTCTAAACTGAATGTTACTTTACCTAAGTGATAGTGAGCTGATGCCCTGTTGTTGTATAATTTGGCATTCAGATCCTTATCCTTGCATTTTACTTCAATTCCTTTTGTGTACAAGTTGATAGCCTTGAGAAAATCACCTTTAAGAAATGCATCAATTCCGGCATTTTTGTGAGCTTCTGCTACTGCTGAAATAACAAACAAACTGAGTTTTGAGTTCTGCCAGTACCTGAATGAGTCAAAGCTAGAGAAGAAATTATAACATCTGATGCCTGACAAATTGTAGCTACACTTGATGTAAAGACCGTTGCCTTGGTTACAGGTACGCTTTGTGTTTGGACTTTACTTACACGTACAATCACTCCCAAGAGGTTTTTGGTTTGTTCGTGAATCGCCCTCCTCTTTTGCTGCTTTATCGCCTTCCTGTGATGAAATCTTTTCGCGTTCTATGACAGAACAAATCTTTATTTCCAACAGATCCTGGTTGTCCTTGTCAATCTTGCTAGAGTAAAGGTGTAGAAAATAATGCTCTTTCTTATCCTAGAACTTATGTAGTTGTTCGTAATAGTAGTAGTTATGACAGTAGCAAGAGCAGTAACAGCAATATTTTTGAATAGTTGACTCCCTTTCTGTACATATCATGCAATGGCTACTCTTTATGTGAACCGTTAAGACGCGTACTCCTAGGTCACTTATTTTAATCGACTTCATCGATTCAAACTGCTGATTTACTGAAAGGTAAAAAACGATTTGATAGTGACATATTAAAAGTAAAGAAAGTAACAATTGTGTGATGGGGCTTTGTGCATTATTCTAAGAAAGGATACGGTTAGTCCTTTATCACACCAGATGATGGCTTCCTCAAACTGCTTCACCTTTAAACAGCTGTTCGCTCCTAGTGAAAAAAAAAGTCGACTCGTTTGAAATCATTGTTTTAGGAAAAATTCACGTTTTCTTCTGAGATTCATTTTTACCTCTGATAATCGCCTTGAGATAAGACGGCTGCAGTGCTGTTGCAGCTTTTACGTCATTCAGACAATCATGGTAATTCCCTGAAAAAAGATATCCATTTGATAATCATCCGTAAGAAGAATAATCAAAATAAAAAAATAGACCTTTTTACCGATACGGCGGCCAAATTGAATTAATCAGATTTAAGGGGCATTGTAGGATGCCCAGGAGGCATGAGCACGATCCGATATACTCGCTCAGTATTTATGCACGCTTTTCGGGCCAATTTCTCTTTAAGTTTTCCTAGAAAAGGATTGTAATGGGAAAAAAAGATCGTTGTGCAGTGTTTGGATGTAATAATGTTCGCCTTTTCCCCGAGAAATATACAGTGAAGTTCTCTTTTTCCCGAAAGGCGCGTAAATACTGAGAGAGTGCCCCCATGGGCATCCCGTAATACTTCTTAAATCTAATAAATTCAATATGGCTGCCGTATCGGTAAAAAGGTCTATTGGCGCTTATTAAGAAGAACAAATTTACCCCGTGACACTTAGCTAAAAAGCAGCACGTACATTAAATATAAATTTGGTTTACGGCCCGTCTTATAGAAATCGACACAACTGTTACATCGCCGTTTACGGTATTAGCTCATCAAACGGCCGAATCGAATTATTCGGTGCTTAATTTAGGTCGGCCTTTATTGAAAACCTCTCATTTGCGAATTACTCAGTACTACGTAATTTTTCACCCTCTTCCTTTTTTCCGTTCCAGAACAATAAAAAACAGTATTTTTAAAAGGCATAAGAATCACCATTAGAACATCTTAAGCGCCACGCCACAATTTTCCTTGATTTTGCAGAGCTTGAACATTGGTTAAAAGACAGAGACAGCCAATGGTTTCCTTCGGTTGGCAAGCCTTGCTTTTAAAAGAAACAAGAACGCTCTTTCAGCGGCTTTCAGTCTCGCTTGCTTGGAGATTAGATCGAGAAATGAAGAGGCGATTAATTCTACACGAAAGAGGATTTACTCGCTAAAGGTTTTTTACTTCCTACTTTATTGACGTAGAGTATTCTTCAGGATATTTAGTATTATTAAAAACTGAATCATTGGATAATGCAATTCTAGTATTTTGATTGGCTTAGCCGTTATGGTATATGAGCTAATATACCATGTTCTCCATATATGGTCGGTGTACGCGTCAGTTTAAAATTGGAAGCTAGCTGAGATTTTTTTTCGCGAAAGATAGAACGGCGCCCGAAGCAAATCGTTTTAATTCATTTCTTAGAATACTAGAAATGCAATTTCAACGAAAGAAAAAAGACAAAAACAAACAAAAAAGCCACAAGAGCTTGTTTGAAAGTTTGTCGAAAAACACATGAAAACACATGGAACTAAAGTACCTTGAACGGCTACGAAAGAAGACAAGTGTTGTTTCTTCATGATCGCGAAGCCATTCGCCGATCGAGTCACTCGCCGATAGATAACTGCAGCTTGTTTATCCGACATCAAGAATATAAATCACAAGTAAAGAGCTACAAATACAGGCTATGCAGCCATTCACTAGAGCAATCGAGGCGGCAGTATAGCTTCTTTTCTCGTTCAGCAAAACCAGGTTGTGGCTTCAAAGAACTTCATAACAAGCGACCGATGTAATACCGGTAGTTTTTCTCCGTTGTTCTTCCTTTTATAACTGCACCGAAAATCCAAGTTCATAGTAATTTCGACGGCTGTCACTTAAAAATTCCTTTCCTTCACATTATCTGCCAGGTTTTTTAAGTTGTTCTGCTGTGTAAAATCCTAGAATCACGATGAATTTTTAAAAAACTAATGTTCATTGCTACAATGTTTTGATTTTTCATTCATGCAGTCTAGGCGAGTCCGTTCGCGCGTTGACAGTTTTGATAGACGTGTGACATGTGAATAGCGGAAGTCCCTTGTCTTTTCCGGTTTGTTCTAGTCGGGGCGACTCAACGAGATTTTGTGGGCGTTTTTAATAAAACAATTATTCCACTCGGGCTTGTTGGATATGAAATGATTATAGCCAACTCGGCGCTATGCGCCTCGTTGGCTATCTATCATCTCCTATCCAACGTGCCCTCGTGGAATAATTGTTAATTATAACATAGCGCGCGTGCTTGCCCTATATAAGTCCTATTGAGCCGCTATGAACAAAATCTTTATTTACGCACGCCCGTGCGTAAATAAGATGACGTGAGCATTTTTTTTTATCTGGCT